GCCATGTTAATTGGCTAAGTTTTCCACAATCATCCTTAAAATGTTCATTACTTGACTATTTGAATCCGATCCAAAACAATTAAGGGCCAAATTCACAGTGCGTAGATTTTTGTACTGAAAATCTGTAGTTAACTGCCGATTCTAAGTTAACTAAACACTGTGAATTTAGCCCTTAACAATCGAGAGCATTTTCAAATTAAATTGTTCACTCATATGGATACATAAATATGTATGTATGTACATGTATAATTACTATACAACCAGTTGATAACACAAATTATATAACACACTTTTGTATATGGGGCGTTCCATACCAAAACCGACGGGGTTCACACTTCTCGTGTTTTTGTTTTGTTTCAAATTTTTAGGGTTCATGCATAAACATAAATAATAAGTAAATATGAAATTTGAGCTTGATTAATGCATTTTTAAAAAGTTTTTTAAAAAGTTTTTCAAGAAAAATAATTTTTTAAATATTTCTTTACATAGAGAATTTTTATGATTTTGTGTGATTTTTTTCAAATTTTTTCCGCGCCCCGTTCTCGAGATATTTGGAAAACTATTGAATCGATTTGTTTTGGTTTTTGTGCTGTAAAGTTTTTAAAAATGTATTAATCAAGCTAAAATTTGATATTTATTTATTGTTTATGTTTATGCGTCAACACTTAATATTTGAAACAAATCAAACACATGAAGTGTGAATCCCGTCCGTTTTGCTATGGAACGCCCCATATAATACATATTTAAACCCATATGTAGCTGCATAGCCACTTACGTATGAATACCTACCCAGCGAGACAAAGCGAAATAAATTCATAATTCAATAAATGTACCACTTCTTATTCTAATGAGTGTCCTCTAACCGGGGTTATTTCAAAGTATACCCATGGCGTTTTTTAAACTATTTACTGTCGCTGAAAAAAAAATTCTGGAAGTCCGATAGTTTTCCCTATCTATCTCTGCTCATCTGGTGGAATACCAAAATCCCAAGTACGTGAGTCGGCTTGCCCGAAGAGATTGCCGTTTATATAGGAAATGGTGATCGATCGGAGATAACTTGCTGGTATACGCCATCGTTGGAGCATTGGAGTAGTAGCAAATTGTCCTGTGATGGCCGAGGCAAGAATTCTTACTGCGAAGTTTTTTACGTCAAAAGGTCCTCAGTGCGTTTCTTATTAAGACACGTTCACAAAGATTTTTAAACTTAATTATCCGCTGGATTGTTCCGCAGGTCTTTTTAATTTTTCCTCAGAAGAACACAAATCGGTGTTAAGAAGGAGTTATTTCCTTCCCTTCTATATTTCTGTGGTTAGAAAATCAGCAAACAGCGGCGTTGACATACTATTTGGCTAAGTCATCTAAGTGATGCCCGCGATGCGTACAATTTTTCTACTTAACTATATAGAGAATTTCCCTGGAATAGACTACGAGGAATTGTCTGATAGCGAACTGGGGCTCATCGACTTTGTCGGGGCTCTAAACATGGAAGTATGCAGTAGCTGTTTTCAAATCGAAACACAACAAAACCAAATCGATCGTATTGTGATAGACGGAAGGCACGCTTAAAGTGTTTTAGACGTACGTACACTCCGAGGCCAAAACATCGACTCGGAATACTATCCACTTGCCTCTGTGTGTGTGTGCAGGAAAAGCTTTTTGTCGAAAAGCTGCTGTCACCACAGACGACCACTGCATTCGCTACCCTACCCTCACACTTGCTCTCAGAGAGCACTCTTCAACAAACCTACATACGCAAGCAGTGGAAACGTATTTCCCGCTCATTAAGTACCGCCGAAGAAAGTCGGATTTCAGTGAGGCCGAAAGAACAACTGGTACGATGGGGAGTGTCCAGAAGCTGTAGAGAAAAAATATGCCGAAGACACGGCCACGCTGCGATCTAGCGTAACGCAAGTTGTTTGGTATCGATATAGAGAGCTGAAAAGAGAAGCAAGAAGGCTTGAAACGATGGGCAATCGGAGGAACACCTGAAAATGTTATCAAAAAGCAAGGAAACTTAAGGAAGACATCAAAACCGGAGCGAATTTCTGAAAGTACAAGCACGACAACCTAGTGTGATAGATGAGCAGAGCATGTTTAAATTTAGGAGGGAACACTTATCTATTCTTCAATTTTGCAATAATTATTATTATATTACATATTTCCGATTATTATATTATTTCCGATGCGCCTTACTACACGTCTCCGTAGAGTTTGCATGATTTTTAACATTTCTGACATTAATTCCACTGACATGGAATAGTGTCACCGCTGAGATAACCAAAAAATTCTCAACTGAACGACATTGAGGAAAATTTGTGGGATTGAGTTCTTTTGAAAAATATGGATTTTTCGTGAATCCAAGTCGTCGTTTTCTTTGCCTAATGCGATGATCCTTTATAGATTGGCGCTTCTCCTCCGATTTGTGGCGTGCGCCTTGATAATGTGACACAAAGAGGAAGAACCTACAGTTTTACGCCGACTCGGAACGGCGATTGTGTTTTTATGAGAAGCAATTTTTCATGGCTTAAATACGCTCGGTGGTATCTAGGCGCGACCACTATTAAAAACAAAAACGCTGCAGCGATCGCCGCGATAATACTTTATATGTCCAAAATATATACATAGTTATTGTCACTTTAAAACGGTATCAAAAAGATTTTGAAATTCCGTTTTTAGAACTCGCGATAAATAGAATAGAATAACGCTTGGTTCCAAATTAGGCCTAAACTTATTTATTATATGCTATATGATCGCCGTTGTAGAATCAGTAATTTTCAACCAAATATAAATTACTCAAGGGGAACTAACTTTCATCATCTAAAATGAGCATTGTTTTGCTAAAGTTTCTAGCGAGCCAACGACATTGTCTTTGACTGTCAAACTTGGATTTACTTGTAACGAATTCGAAAAATATTCGTATCATTTGATGCGAATACGAATGTTTAAAATGATACGAATCATTCGCATAACGGATGCGAATGCAAATATTCGCAACACCCCTAATACACATGTATGTATGAATGAATATAAGCACGAATGGATGTACATATGTATTAGGAATGTTAATCCCGGGATCCCGGTATTTTTTTGGTTCCGAAAACCCCGGAATTCTGGCAAATAGTCCCGCGATTTTCGGGATTTGTACTTTGCACTGATGGCAATAATAGAAACTCCTTTTCTTGACCAGAATTGGCTATATTTCTTTTTTTTATTTAATAACTAATATTTTTTATAAATGTCTAGCTCATATAACACAGTGCGATAATAAATTTCATACACAAAAATCAATATATTCGCGAAACCATGGGCCATATATTGTAAGATTGGGTTTTTAGTTTATCACTCTGAGGTCAGTAGTTTAAAAATGATTTAAAAAATTTGGTGAAATGTGCTTAGAGAAGAAGTAGAGTTCTGTAGAATTTAAACAAATTAAATTTTTGGTGCATAAGAACTGGTAAGTATTGAATTTCCTTTTAAACTTTTATACTTTAAATTTCGCAATATTTGTTTTTGAAAAAATTATATGTTAAGGACTTATATGAACTCGATAACTTCCTCCTATTCGTCCTTGTGATCCCAAAAAATTTCAATTTTTTATTCTACATTGCATTGAATTTTTTACATAATTTTTGGAATTAATCATATCTTTGAAATTACAAAGTCCGTTAAAACAAATCCTGATGTCAGAGAGAAAAAATAAAAACGCCACTTTAAATAGAAAAGTAGGTTTCAACCCCATTTATTTATTATTTATTTTATCGTAGGTGAGGTAGATTCAATTTTTTCCATTTAAGTTTTTGAAAGTAATAAATATCTAAATATCGGAACTAATCCCGGCATCCGGGAATTGTGGTAATGACATCGCGAAAATCCCGGGATTGTAAAAAGCGAAAAAATTAACATCCCTAATATGTATGTACATATGTATGTATGGACGTAGTTGTGTTTATATTCCATAGTTGTTTTTATAATTAATTATGCGTAACATGTGACTCCAAACAACACGACCGACTGACCGAGTTATGGTTTCTCGTAGCTGACAAAATCAGAGGGCATCCGTCGTCATCTGTATCGTCAACAACATTTGCCGCCAATTAACTTCGCGCGCATTTACAAATAGACTAACACAATATTAAATATGTAATCGCACAACGGTAGGCTATACATATATAAGTACATATTTATATACGAGCATGTATATATGTAGGTATATTAACACCAGAGTATGCTTGCAATTAGCGAACGTGCTGTTTCCTTTTCCCCCTTTTTCGCACTTCGAAAACTGTTATATTTGATGCCTCACTGCCAGTTACACTAAATATTTTGACTTCCATTTCCGTGACAGGCGCGTACAAGTACAGTTAGAGAATAAGGCATATTTACAGGCGCACAAGCTGGTGGTAGCAGATGTGGAGCGCAAATATAAGTGAGTGGAAAATTTGGAGTCGTTAGATTGCGGCGAATTACTAATGAACTCTCTGATATTTGGTTTCCATTTAATTGTTGTTGTTTGCTACACGTTTATGTTTGTTCGCTTACATATTTGCCATTTCACCGTCACTGCTGTCATTGAAAAATGTCACAGCAAATGTGAAATTTGTCACATCCAATTAACAACTCATTCGCTCATAACGCTTGCATGCCCACACGCCTAGCGATTGAGGGGCTGAGTGGTTGAATGGCAGTCACAGCCACATTTTTAGACATTTTCGTTTAGTTGAAGCAGATATCATTTATCATATGTAGTCGGGAAAATATAGATAGTATGTAAATATGTACGAATTCTGGAAACTAATTTTTATATCCATTTTTAATTCAAAAACAAATATGTACTTAGATACTTTTTATAGACGAGCTCACTCATAAAAAATATACCGTAATGTAGCGTGCGCATAAAAACGCACACACACACACACACACACACGCAGAAAAGTGATAACAACGAAAACTATTACTTAACCAAAGAAAAAATGCGCGAATTGCATAGCGGTGCCACTCACATTCACTCGAGTTTTTGTTGATGCCGAATTTTATATGTATGTATGTACATATGTACGAGGATGATTATATACGCAGATATAATGACGCGCGCAATTCCACACATAAACCGAAACGCTCGCACGCCCACACCCAAACACTGAGATAAACTTTATTGCAGGTATTGTTAATGGGAATATTCCCTTCCGTACAGTGAACCAATAAATATGACAGCGTGGTGATGACTAAATGATGCAGTGGTCCGTCGCATGTTGGCTGCTAGCTCATGTGATTCAACATCGAGAGCGCGTCGCAGGTGTGGTGAAATTCTACTATGACGGCTCGGAGAGAAATTGCGCGAAGTACACAAAAGGATGCTGTGAAACAGCTGATACGAGTATATAAGGAGTTGAAGTGAAGCGGTATTTGGCTGCCGTACAAGGTAGCTTCAGAGAGAGGGAGAGAGAGCTGAAGTTATCAGGATATATACATAGTGTAGAAAAAATGCCGAGCGCGAGAGTATTATCCGAAAGGATGCCACAGTGAGTGATAAGAAAGCTTCACGAAGCTCGTTGCATGTACCTAGTCGTATGTACATATTTTAAATTACATACATATATACCGAGAAATATGTGTGATTATTCCTTACAGGTAGTATATCAACAAAAGTTTAGCGAAAGCAACCTTGACAACCAGCCAGGTTTCTACACTCTGCTTTGGAAATAAAGTTAAGACGCTCAAAGTTAACATTGCAGTTGGTTAGTAAATTAAAAAATCATAACTCAGTAAAAAGGTGCTTTGTATACCGGTGAAGAGTCCCTTAGGTTAAAAACCTTAAAAATCTTCGACTCTCTTACTGATTACCAAAACAATGTGGGTTATTTAATGCCTAATTCTAAGCGGTGCGGACGAATTGCAATGAGCTATACCGGCTATTCACATAGAATTTGTTCTTCATATGAGAAGGTAGGCAATTAGTACATAAGTAGGAAATAAGTTATTTGATCTCAATACCCGGTAATGGGTTTGGAATTCGGACCCGCCACGCAAATAACAAGTTCAATGAAAAGACTAAATAAGTCTCCGATAATTGGCACTACAAAATATGTTTACGTCCCTCGGAGACGAAGCAAGATGCACGATTGACGAGACGTGGAAAGTACGCGCCCTCTATATCGTTGGCTGAGTGGAAGATCAACCTATCTCGGCAGCCAGTTCGAAAACGGTCTATCTCAAAAAACTTTTCAAGAACGCCCTATCTCAGCTGCCGATTCAAAAACTCCCTATATCAGCATATTTTCAATACATTTTGAAGTGATATAGGGCGAAATACCTAATTAATCACGTGGTAATAGACAGAAGAAAATCCTCGAGCATTCTTGAAGTCCGTACCATCCGAGAAGAATACATGCAGCAACTACTGGCAACTGGCTTTCAATCTGTCAAAAATTAAAGACTCTTCATGGTCCGTGAAACCGGCAGTAGGATTTCAACTTTCTTCGCATCGCTGTGCAATAGGTATTTAGCTACACAAGCCGAACAACTATTAAGGCGAAGAGTTCCGAAATCAGAGATCTTTTTTTCGATTTGAAATCAATTTTTGACAGCGCGAGGAGAAAGTGACTCTACGACGTCACGTCTATATTCTGAGTCCTCACAAAACTTTTGACGTTGTAAACTTTTGTAAATTGACGTTGAGTACAATATGATATTGACATCATTGACCTTAACGACAAAAACTTGAGTACAGTATTTTTCAGCTTGAAATAGGGAACTTAGATGGTTGGACCAGCGGTAGGCGAGAACAAGAAAAATCAAATCTTGGCAGCATATAGAGTCTTCGCGTTTTGGGACACACGTCACTTTTAGCAGTTATAACTTTGAAGTAAGTAGTAAAGGGATCTAGCATAAACACTATCAATAATGTCACCCTGGAGTCTGAGCGATGGATAAGTCTTTCCAAAAGGTAATACTTTCTGTGGCGCTGAAATATGAACGACGACAAACAAAGATAATAACGCTTTGGGGACGTTCGATCGAATTATTCTACGCAATATTTTGGACACCGTTTACGTGGGTGATGGGTACCGTAGAACATAGAATGACGAACTGTGCGAGCTTTTTAACGACATGGACATAATTAAGCGCATAAAAATAGCTAACAAAATGGGCAAGTGCAAAACGACTTTTCTGCACTCATTATGAACAACTGACGCAAATTCGCAAAGGATCTAACCATTTGAGGAAGGTTTTTGGGATCCGCCTAAGCCGACTAACGATTGTAGTGCCAAATAAGAATAAAGTGAACAACTCACTCATACTGGGGTCAAGAGCAAAGCCAAGCACATTAATTCAGACAACACATATATATTGTATACAGAGGAATAACCGATGAGCGAAAAATTAAAATGATAGCTAAAACCCTGTGACTACGCATAAGATATTATAAGTTCCATCTAATCTATAAATACTCTATAAAAAGGCTGATATTACTTGATATATCAAGCGATCTTTAGTGAACTTAAAACAAGACCGCGTAACGGTATCACGGCCGACTTAGAGGCCATCAGTGACAACATTACGCCATTCAGAGTATTCGTTTCAGTATTCGCATATGATTTAAAACTAAGGATGAATGGGAACCAGCCCTTGTTATGGGGGATATCATACCCCATACATCATCAGTATTACAGAGTGCTGCGCCTTCTTCGGGCACTCATCGGGGGCATTGATTGATAAGCATAAAAATGGCCTCCGAGTTGAAGTATGATAGTTTCATGCATGCCATCCTATTCTAACCTACTTTGTCAGATACGTTAATTTGTCCAGTCTCTAACTCACGACAAAGTGACTTCGCTTCAGAATAGAAATTCTCCTGCCAAGTAGAGAGTATTGTATGAATATTTCTGAAGGATATTTGTACATACATAACGAGCCCATCGAAAATGCTTTTCCTGGAAATTTCAAGACCCTAACACCTAATTTTATTCGTTTTTTTTTTAGAAATATTATTGCCTATTTTTTGAGATTTTTAAAGGTCATTTAGAGGTCACGACTTGTCGATTTAGGTCAGAAAATACGATTATGTAGATTTATGAGTTTTGAGTTTTGAGGGTAATTATTCAAAATTGATATATACAATCGCTGTTTAGCAAAGAACTGGGTTTTCAAGAAATTCTAGGAAAATTGGGGTTGGCACCGCCCACTTATATGATATATGTGTATTTCAAAAACTACTTCACCGATCTCAACCACATACACATTGCGCTAGCCTTCTTAAGCGCCATATTCAAAATTTTTCAAATCGGACAAAAACCACCGGCTCCACCCACGTAACGGTAATTTCAAAAAACTCAAAGCCAGCTAAATTTTAGGGGGAGTAAGTTTTGTCCGATTTCGAAAATATTCATTTCAATGGGCACCCTAATGTACATATATAAATATGGTCAAAGTTTTTCGTTGCATTTGTAAACGGTAGCGTAAGCTCATATCTCTGCAACTATCCAACTGATATAGTTCCCTCTTCGATATGTCACTGCTAGGAGATGAAATCAAAGGCAAAGGCCTTCTGTTTGCACAAAAGTGCATTTCATAATATATTATGGGCACAGATTTGAGCACTGCTACGCTACCGTTACAGATTATAAGTACATTTTTTTAGCGAAATTCATTCTGAATGTTTAATAGGGTGATTGAGTTAGTTTTTTTAAATCGCTTTAAACCGGTTTTTTTGGATATCTATAGGAAGTTTTTTTAAATTGTAATTTTTTTAATATCAAATAAACCGGGGTTTTTTTCATTTCATACAAATGTTAATTTTTCAAAAAAAGTTTCGAGTTTTTCATTTTAAAATTGTACCCTAGATTATTTGGGGTTGAACAGTGTATCATATTTGATTCCAATATATAAATTATTGAATTATACTGTAAATAAAATTCTATCTAAATTTCAAGTCATCTGAAGTAAGTTGAATAATCGGTTTTTATTGACATAAATATTTAATGGCTAAAAATGCATGATCAAGACCGCTGTTCATTAGCCAGCCCTCCCGAGCTCGATTTATATATTATCAAGCTAAGCTCACAAAAAATTTCAATCGATTTGAAGAATGATGAGTTTTTTGGTCATGAGCTCTTGGTCTATATATGTAGACTTATGCGTGTATCTGAATATTCTCGATTACTGATTTTCATAGCAAACATACATATGGACACTAAAAGAACCGACACTTTTAAGGTATTGTCAAATAAATTGGAAACCAGGTGTAAGCAAAAGTACTCGTTGTCCGTGATGATATTATCAAGTTTTCAATCAACTCGCAGCAGCAGTGAGAGGCACGCGTAAGTTCTTTTCATTGCCACTACATAATCAAAGTGCTTGCTTAGCTGTTTATAGAAGTGCGCCAAATGCAACTATACATAGATATGTCGGTATACGTATGTATGTGTATTGAGATTTACTCGCCAAATAGAGTTTCAATACAAATGTGCGAATAATCTTAAGCCGTCATCACTTTTTGGTGAGCCGGTCGCGCGCAAACAGCTGATATCGGCCAGTGCTGTGTGTATGAAAGCACATGAACGCACACAAATAACACGCATATATTTATACAATTTATGCAGTTTATGTATGGATCAGACGTCATAGATGCCCTGCGAGCTTTTTGCCCCACGTCACGAAATGCTTGAACTATCTATGTGTGTGTTTATGTAGTAGCATACTTTAAGGCGCGCTAGCAAGAAAACTCACGCTCCTACAACGCTTAAGTACCGAATAGTTGCTTTTTGAATGCGTTGCGTAGTTTTGTTTGTTTTTTTAATAACTTTTGCGAAACACCTGCGCTCGCCTCAACTGAACGTTATGTACGGGTATACGATTAAGGCAAAGAACAACAACAACAATTTATTTTATGCTTAATTTTAATAGTTGTGCATATTTTTCCATTTTACTTTTCAAACTTTACGACGGAAACGTAAACGCGGTGACTGCTTCAAAGCTGCATACGTCATAGTTATTTAGTGCGAAAGGTTGCCGTTAAAAGAGTTTATAGGTATAAGCAAACAAAACAAAATTGGCAATAGCGGGCAAACCAAGAAATTGTGCTTAAGTGTTGTAGTAAAAGGGAAATATTATAGCACAGAATTTTCATACAGTTTTTCTTGTACATTTACACTTAATTTATGAGCTGTTTATGGCATCTACAGCATATTTTAGCATTTT